CAAGAAGTGTTGTCTTTTGTGCTTAGCCTGGGGAGAAGAGTTGATGCAGCCAAGCAACTTTCAGGAGAGAGCCAGTGTGGTGCAGTGGTAAAGGGTGAAGGTCTGAGATTCGGACAATCTGGGTTCTAGTCCCCATTCAGACATGGAGGCAACTAGGTGGTTCTGGGCCAGTCACAGACTATCAGCCTGGTACATAGGGTTGTTGTGCAGATAAGATGGAGAACAGGAGAATGATGTAAGCTGCTCTGAGTTTTTTAAAAGAAAAAAGATGGGATATAACTCTAATAAATAAATATATTCAGGGGACCATACAGCCACAGTTTTCCTTTGCTTATTTATATCTTGCATCCATACTATATAAACCGTACATCATTTTTGATACACATGGTTTCCATTTTTCCCCAAGTATCCTCAGATCTAAAGTGAGGTGCCTGCCTGGACTAGGGCCCCAAGGTTATAACAAGTGCAATGCACTAAGTTCTTCCCTGAGAAGAACAGGATGAGATGAGACCTTTTCCACTCCAAAAAGAGTCCTTTTTGTGGTAGCATGAGCAATGCAGCTTATTCATTCAAATCCCAACTCTATATTTGAACATATTATATGGAGCATGCACTATATGGAACACCATACTCTATATGGGACACGCACCCAGATATATTTTTGTCCAGAGCTATGCAAAGACGATGTGGGAGAGGCAACCACCAGCCACAGTATCATAGGACAGCTTTACCTCATCCCAGTTCTCAGGCAGCTGCCAGACTCTGGACAAGTGGCGAAGGGGAGGGAGCAGCATGCCCTTGCAGGGTTCATGTCTCTATGCCTAAGGAATGTGGAGGTATTGGCAGCTCCACATGGGGTGGGGCAAGGGCCATAAAACAGACATTGCTGCCAGGCCCACACCTCACCATCTCCACCAGGTGACGTGGGTATTGGACACCAGCCATCCTACCTGCCTGATCCTTGGCATTTGGCACACGGGCCTCTCTTACAAGGTGCCGTGACATGAATCGCCTTGAGCAGGATCGTGGTACCCTCCTTGTTCTAGGCATCCAGAGAAAGAGCAGGGTGCAGACAGTGCCATTTACCACTGCTGTTTGAACTTGTCATGGATCCCTGTCTGTCTCTGTCAGTAGACTGCTAAAGCCCATGTGAGGAAAGGATCAGGAAACAGCACTAATGGGAACATAAGGCAGGTTGAGTGATTGCCTCTTCTCACCAAGGTTAGAAACTAGTTCCCTGGAGTGGCCAAACACCAAGGCAAACAGAGTAAGAGGGCAGCGCAGAAGGCTGGGCTTGTGAATGTTGGTTGTTATCACCCATCTTCTCATGAGGGACACTCTGAATTTGTGGGGATGGAAGCACATTGCACCCCAGTGTGCCGTAATTTGTAACCTTACTGACACTGTATATTGCCTTCTGTAGGAAGAGAATACAGGAAGAGAGCGTTCCCACCCACGCTCTGTCTTACCTTCCCATTCTGACTGGGGAATGATGGATGTTGTAGGACATTTTTCTGTCTAAACATGCCTAATGTCGCACCCTAATTTTACCCAAAGGCACACAAAAACAGCAGGACAGAAATCAGAAAGGACAAAAAAAAGTGAAAGATTTTCTTTTACTGCAGGAAGAAGTCTTACAAATGGCCTGAGTTAAAGGTTGAAAGAAAAGATTCAAAATCAGCGCGTATGTGAAGGCTCCCAACCCAACCCAATCCAGAACTTCTCACTTCCAACCTGCTTGCTGCAGATTGAACAAACAACTGAGAGAAAGCAAAGAAAGAAAGAAAGTTTATTATAATTTAATCACACAGTGATTCCTTGGTAAAATATGTCCTAGGACTAGTAGTTGGACCTATAAGTCATACAACTAAACTTCCTCCATCCCACTCCTATTTTGGATAACTGAAATCAAAAGATGTCATTTGCAGACGAGACAGAATGGCTACTTTTTCAAAGTCCAAATCTCAGCACAAAACTTCTTCTGGTTGCAGCTTTGGTTGCTCCAGAGAGAAGCCTGTTTCACCTTGGGAAGCACCAGAAATGTTTGGAAGGTTGTCAGTGTGGCCTGGGCCTCAGCAGGATGGGATGCATATTCCTAGTATGAACTAAAATGTCTTCCAAGAGGATTGTGAGCTTATGGACACTTACCTGAAAGTAAATTGTATAGAATTCAATAGGGCTTACTTAGGAGTAGATAGGCATAAGATTTTACTTGATCACATTTGATCACCAATAGCCACTCTTCCAAGAAAAGCAGTAATAATGAAAATGCCTCTACTAATACAGAGCAAACATTAATCTACTACGATGTCATTGTATTAAAGAACATCCCCCTCCCTGGTAAGAGAAACACTACAGCAAAAAAGCCAATTTTCAAAAAATAGATGTTTCCTATTTCCTGTTTTATCTTCTTACATTTAGACAAAAGATATTGCCATAGGTTTACAGAAGCATGACTTGTAGGAACCTGAGGAGGTCTATTAACATAACTATTTTGTAACTTGTGTTCACTACAGTGGGGGTTTATTCCTTTTTCTTCTCTTCCCTCTGCCAACTATAGTCATACAACGTCAATAGAGAAAGGTCTGTAGCTGTACCCAATTACATGACATATCATATGGAAAGATGGCTTAGGAGCAGAGGAAAAATGGGTAGAAGATACATCAGTAATTTGAGATGACTAGATAATACCATATTACTGGCAGAAAGCAGTTATGAATTCAAATGACTTCTGATGCAATTGAAACAAGAAAGTGCAAAAGCAGGATTGTAGCTGAGCATTTAAAAATCATGACTGCAGAAGAATTTGTACAACTTTCAGGTCAACAATGAAGAAACTGAAATTTTGAAAGATTAAACATTTCTTGGTTTGAACATACCTTAGTCCAATCATCAAGAAAAGCTGATTCCAAGAAATTAGAAGACTTTGAATTGGAAGGGTAGCAATGAACTATTAAGATCACCAAGTGTAAAGCTATTTCACTGGGAACCAAGCCCAAGATCACCTACACTATTGCATTCCTGATTGTATAGACATGAAAGAGGGACAGTGAAGAAATCTGACAGGAAGAAAATTGATGAGTTCAAAACATGGTGCTCGAGGAGTGCTTTGTAAATATGCTGGACTAACAGAAAGACAAGCAAAGGTCCTAGATCAAATCAAGCCAAAACTTTCCCTAGAAGCAAAAATGACAAAACTGAGACTGCTGTACTTCAGACTTATGAGAAGGCAAGGCTCTTCAGAGAAGGCAGTAATGCTGAGGAAAGTTGAAGGGAGAAGACAGGAAACACCGAATATGAGATGGATCATAAAGAAAGTGACACCGCTGACTTTACAAGAGCTGAGGAAGGTTGTGAGAAACAGAACATTTTGGAGGGCATCCATTCATTCATAGAATGAACAGCACAACTTGACGGCATGGAGCAACAATCTCTTCAAGCTTGCTATTATGACCTTAGAGAAAGAGCCAGTGGTGGCTGCAAGCTGAACATGGATCCTGGGATCCCTTTTGGGATCATGGATCCTATGGCAATCTAGACAGTTTTGACAAATTTCAGCTCTAGAACTAGATAATTAGCTGTTTCTTCAATGTATCTGACAAGCTAAAAATTGCAACAAGCGATTTCCTAAGTGGAAAATTAGTACAGAAATGGAGACAATCCTACTTGGTCTTATAAGACACATATCTGCCTGTCCTATATTTAGCGCTCTCTCTTTCTCTTTCTCTTTCTCTGAATATGGCGTTACCAGAACTTCAGAATATTCCAAGTATGTGCATGCTTTAAATTGATATAGCTTTTTAAAAATTTCCTTCCCTTTCCCAGTAATTTCATAAGTCCAAAGTCAACCTTTTTCACTTTTACCCCACAAAACCCTCATCTGATTATTTCAGCACTGAAAACGTTTTTCAGTGTGCTCATTCTACTATGACCTCAACATTTTTTTCTCAGATAGTTCTTCTATTCCAGTTCCTGAAACCAAGGGTTTCATCAGTCTATGTGTGAAGTTGGGATTTTTGCACTTAAATGAAATGGCATCTGCCCCTTTTGGATCCTTTCAAACGGCTTGGGATTTTACAAATTTAGTGTCGTTTGCCATTTTAGCTACTTCACCTTAGCTACTCTGCCCTGCCTCCTGGGTATTTACATATAAATTCAAGAGCACTCATATCTAGAGGACTCACTCCTTACTTTCTTTACTGGGAGAACCGTTTTATCTACTTTCTCTGTTTTAAGCAGTTATAGGTCCATTAAAAGCCTGTCCTCTTTTATCAGTAATAATAAGCTTGCATACGTGCATTGGGATTTCCTTTTTCCTTTATTAGTATATCGCCTGCTCACCATCAGATATACTAATAAAGATCTCAGTTCTGAGTTCCCGTCCTGAGCAAGCACAACGCCCTACCCACGCATCAAACGGAGCTGCCACCAGGCTGGCAAGAACTCCGCGGGTTGCACAACCGATGTTAGGAGAGAAGTAGGGCCGAGGATGCTCAGTGCTGCCGCGGAATACCGACTAACTGGGCCCAGGCAGATGGGGAACACGATGCAGCTGGGAGCCCGAGCGAGCGCCTTCACGCTGCCGCAGCCCGCAGCAGGTCCTTCTCCTGGGGCGTCTCTCTGACCACCTGCCCTCGCCCCTCCGCGTCGCCTTTCATGCTGGGCGTCCTTCACCTACGGCTTTATTCAGCTGCCCGTTTCCTATGCTCCCTCCCTGCCTCTTGAGCCTCCACGAACCCCTCTAACTCCTCCGGGTTCTCACCCGTCTCTTGTCTGCCCTGGAGCCGCCCGCGGACCGCCCTGCTTTCTACCTGCGCCTCTTCCACACCCGGTCGCATTCACTTGTCACCCGATAGCGGCCACCCAGACAGAAAGACAGCCGAGCAGTCCAATCGGCGTCAAAGAAAGGCTCTCTGTGCCCGCCTTCTTCCCCCTGCCCGTTCTGACTACGGGCGATTCGGTGGCAGTTGGTAGGGAGCTTAGCGCGCAAGCGCGTGAGCGAGCTCCTGCTGCGTTTGTGAGTGACCTTGCGTCTCCTGCAGCTTGAGGAGGATGGAGGGGGAAGGGGGTGGTAAGTTAATCATCAGACAAATAGATGGATAACTTTATTGCTGGCCCCGTTGTACTCTCAGTGCCCTCCCGACCCTTTCCTCTGAAATGGCTGCGTTTGAGATGGGGGCGACCTATTTTCTTCCTCGCTTTCTGACCCCCCCCCCCGGCCCGGTTGAATAGTTGAGCGCTCCTTCTCTCTGGAAAAGGTCCCGATGGGAGGGGGGTGGTCTGGTTCTTTGCGCGTGCTTCTGCGGAAGGCGCTGCTGCGCTGCGCAAGGGTCCGCAAGGGACGGACGTCATCTCTCAGTGCTGTAGAAGGAAGAGCTGCATCTACTGGTAGACCTCGGAGTCTACCGTAGATGGCATGGATGTTTTTGCCCGCAGGTGCTGAAGGGTAGCAGCAGCGGCCCCCGCCCCGGTCATGCAGCCCCAGTGTGTATGTGGAGCGGCTGCACGTCCAGCGCTGGTGCCCAAGGGGTTGCTTTCAGCCTCTGGTCGATGCATCTTGGGGTTCTGATAAAGATAACCCTGGCAAAGAAACTCGGACGTACGAGGTGTCGGACGTACTGTGTCGTCGACCGAGGCAGCCCTGTGCGTGCTCAGTGGCGACCATCGCTTCCTGGTCCGTGTTCGCATCCACCAACTGGGGGATGGGGACACCTTTACCGCTTGAGATACAAGAAGCTGTCACGAGTGCAACGCGTGACTGCTGTACTTCGCAAACAGCAGAGGATCTTGTGGCACTTTAAACGCTAAAGTAGATAATCTAATGTGCCCCTGAAAACCTATTTCAAAATAATGTGTTGGTCTTTAAAATGCCCCAAGGCTCTTCATGGCTTGATACGACAGATTAACATGGCTACCTCTCTCGAAACTGATGTACTTCGAGTTCTTTTTCAAATACATATGGGAGCTGTCCATAAAGTGCATTATACTTGGGGAATAAAGGTAGACAGATGAAGAACAGGGGAAGAGTGTAGCAAAGTTTAAATGCCCCTTAGATGGTGGAACAGTCTGCTGTGGCTGATGTATGACTAAATTAGAAGGGAGGTGAAATCTAAGTGATATTATATGGGAGATGGAAAGGTTCTAGTTGGCTAAGTAGCTGATGAGTATATACTTCCACACTTCTGGAGCTGTCTTGCTTTTGGTATTTTATATGTTAACATCTAAAAAGTTTTAGCAACAGAAGGTTTTTTTTTATTTAGTGCCTATCACTACTATAGCATTATTTAGAAAGTTAATCCAAATCAGAAGTTGTTCTGTGAGGTTAGGGGAAAACATGAAAACAGTGGCTAAGGTTACGGCTATCTGAAACAAGATAAGTTTCTTTGAGCACTTGCTTGATTGTATTCAAATTAATCCTAACTTTTGAAAATATGTTTGTTTGTAGTGTTGGGAATTGAAACCCAAGAGTTTTGCTGTGCTCACTGATTTAAAACCAGGAAGTAAAAACTACATGAGAGTTGTTTGTGGTAAGTGTTCAGGCTAATGAGGAAATAGAGAAGAAAGAAGTACTCTTCAGAGAATGCTAGTGTTTGTCTACATAACTGACTTTCCCTCCAGCTCCACTCCAACTGGCCTTTCTACAGATCGTCAACAGCTTTTCCGATCCAAGGATTGCCAGTATTAGAGCAACTAAGATGAAGCATTATTTTTGGCAATGACTGCTCACAAATTTGGCTTTACCTATAACACAATACCCTTTTATTAAACAAGGATGAAATCTTCATATTATTCCTAGTGAGTAAACATCTAATTGGATTAAAGAAGTAACTCTAGAAACCAACAGTTAGCCTCCCATCGTTCTTATTTTTTTAGGCTGCAGTTCTGTGCACATTTACTTGGAAGTAAGTTTCATGGAATTCAGTGGGCCTTGCTTTTATACAGAAATGTCTAGAGTTGCCCTGTAATAGAAAGTGCAGCAGTGTGAGAATACCTAGTTGATCATTTGGGAGTGGGGCAGAGCCAAATACTTTTTATGTGGGGTGATTTTCTGTTGAAACTTACTTCCACTAGCTGCTTTCCCACATTATAATATTTATTTCATTTCTGTATAGCCCAAGAGCCAAAGCTCTTTGGGAAGTTCATAGCAATTCACAAAAGGTAAGACACAGATACAATAAAATATAGTATAAAATACAGGTAAAGTAAAATACATTGAAATTAGATACCATAAAATGCAGCATAAAATTTCTATATGTAAAATCTTAAACAGTATATGTAGCTACAACAATTTAAAATGAAACTTGTTAAAACAACTAACATGTCTCAACATAGTGAATGCCTGGAAGTGACAGTGTTTGTGCTGGGGCCCCCACTGGGGAGATTATTCCATAATTAGGGGCCTCCACTGAAGACCTTTTGCCACCAACCTCACCTCCCTTGGAAAGCTTCAGATGTGGATTATATTACCTGAGTAGATTGTGGCTGGGAGAGGCATTCCATCAGGTATTGTGGTCCTAAGCCATGGTAGAGATTTATTGATCGAAACCAGCAGTTTGAATAAGAACTTAAGAATAGGACAGGGTCAATAGCCATACTGAGACTGGAATGGGATTTTATTGCTTATGATTTGCTATGACACAGGGCCAGGATCCAGTTGCTGGGCAGCTGAACTGCTGTCTCAATTTGTGTGCTGTGGCAGTGCTACTGAGCATAGCAGGAATTTTTAACCTGCACTGCATGACTTGATAATGTGTCTATGCCAATGACCTAAATTGTTGGCAGGTGTGGAAGCCCACAAGCTGCACTGGGGCCTTCAAGTGCCCATGATTCCTTAGTGCAGGGGTGAAAAGAACATAAGGGAAGCCCAGTGGTTCATCTGGTCCAGCACTCAAATCTTTTACGCAGATTTGAACAAATACAAAGAAGGCAGCGTAAGAGAGAGGAAAGGCGTGACTTGGGAGAATGATCCCATGTGGGCTCAGAAAAAGAAGCCATTATAGGACTGACATCTGCTCTGCAGGGACCACTATTAGGGAACTTATCTATAGTATCGAAAATCTTGTAGACAATTAACATTAAAAGACTTTAGTTTTATTGCTCTGTGGAGAGTTGAATGTTTATACAACCCTTTCACGACACTTGGAGTAGTCATCTACCAACAGAAGCCAGCTTATCTCTTACCTAGATATGGCAATCCTGGGCCACCAGGTCTGTTGGTAGAAGGTACTCTGCTATTGAAGCCACTTGAGCCTTAACTGACAAAGATAACTCCAGGAGGACCACCAGCTATGAACCTTCTTCATCAGAGAGAGTACAATATCATCCAGAACAGGTTGAAAGCCCTGTACTGAGTCAGAAGAACCACTGAATAATAGAATCTCAGTCTTGTCTAGATTGAGCTTCCATTTGTTAGTCCTCATCCAGTACACTGTCACAGTCAGCCACCAGTTTTGCAGATTCACAGTCCTACCTCATGGAGGAAAGGAAAAATAGATATTTTTCTTCTAGTATTTCTTGTCCCACCCCAGCCATACCACTGCTTCAATCAAATATATATTTCTCCTTCATAGGTCTTTTGAGTGGGGAGGCAGAGAATATAATCATAGATTTTTTTGTTCATACATTGTTTGGTCTTTAGTTTTTCCATATCTGATACATTATTACCCCACCATCCTTTCTACTCATTTTAAATCAAGTGATTTTCACTTTCTCAAATTGTCTGCGATACAATTAATATAGCACATGTTAATTGCATCATTTCTTTACAGTATCTGATAGGTTAATATTATATTAACATTTGTTTGTATCATACCCTAAGCAAAGAGCTGTAAGCAACTGGAAATAGTTGGAAAGGTTTGCAGCAACCCATGCCTGTTGCCTAGCTCCCTGACCAGTGTGTTCTTTAAGTCTCTTTAAGTGATACCACCCATGCCATTTAGTCTGCTCTTGTATAACAATACAAACCATGTGTCAACCTAATTATCTCAAATGCTGCCTGCTACCAGTACAGCCTCTGAGTTTCCAGTGTGGCTATACTAGAATCCAACATCTCCCAACTTTTTAGGTTATTCTTATTGCCTATCACAATGGATTTCAAACTTCCCTCCCACTAACTTGGCCATTACCCTGTAGAAACAGTGTACTTGTAATGCCTTTGATATACTTCTGCATCTATGCATTATCTGGGGAAATCACTAATGGTAGATAAGTTACATAATTTATATTATCTCGTAATAGTGAAATTACAGAGAAACTATTCTTTGCTCCCAAAGCCATGGAAAGACTGGCATCAAGATATACAATTCAGCTGCACAAGCAAGCAGCCAGTGTACTATAGCTGTTACAGTGCTGGATCACAGTTCAGGAGAAGGATTTAGGAGTACCCTAAGGACTAGAAGAAGGTTCTAGTCCTCATTCAACCATGAAGTTCACTGAGTAACTTTCAGCTCATCACACCCTCTCAGCCTAACCTAGCTAACAGAGTTGTTGTGAAGATATAATGTAGAGGAGAAAAATCAGGTAGGCAGATTGGGGACCAGATTCTTTTATTCTGGCTCTTTAAGGCCTTGCCACTTTTGAAGCTTCTAGAATAGGACTAGGCAGAAAAAGCAGAGAAAAAGCAGTTTTGCTATTCAGGCATTTTGAGACTCATGCCTTTACAGAGGCTTCCTTGAAGTGTGACCTAGAAAACAATCGAATTTCATTGCTTATCAGTGCTTCTTTATTATTGTGTAGATTTATTTTTATGCTTTGATTGTAACGATATGGCATGCTTATTGCTTCATAACTCTGTCAGAAGTAGTATAGAAGGACAAGCATGAAATAATAAAATAAAGGTAGATTTTCAGAGGTTTGGAATTTCAGCCTCAACAAGGAGTTGTTGCCAGCATGGCCAATGGTCAAGAATGCTGGGAGTTGCAGTCCAAAGCACCTGGAGATCTCACTTCTACTAATTACTAATGTCTTTATTAGGCCATGCTACCAGAACTTAGACATGTTGCTTTGAGAGTGTAGTGTTTTAAAGGGTGTCTGGATTAATGCAATAATATTTAAATGTTGGAAAATGCAGTTAGCAGACTAATCCTTTCAGGGATTTCCGGAATGGCCTTCCTCCTGAAAATAAAGGGACAAAAATTGGACCAGGGGGACCTACTGATCAGCTCCATAAATAGTTGTCTCAAGATTAATGTACTGGTTAAACCTCATAACCTTTCAAAATGCATCTGTACACACTGACTTCAGTGCTCCTGGCTTCTAGTACTGTATAACTGATAGTATCAGTAGAACCTACATTATGTTTCTATGCTAGTTTGAAGTTGTCTTGCAGTGAGAAATGTAATGAAAGGCAACTGTTTGAAAATGCTTTATACCAGAAATTATTCAGTAGCTGCTGAAAAAGCTGTGAAAACTGCTTCTGTATGTATATAGGAGTATAATGAAAACAATGGAAAATTGAAATCTCTTGCAGATGCACTTCTACTGAAATCATAATAATGCAGCAAACACAGTAAAGCTAATGTCATTAAAATACATTTAGAGTACATGTAGTCCCTGAGTTATGGACGATTTCTCTTCCTATGAATGTCCTTTATGTCCAATTTGTAAGTAAGTCAGATCACATGGGTAACCCAAATGTTTGTCTTAGTATAGGTATATAATATCTTACCTTTCTATGCATATAAAATGCTCAAGAAACACTTCCAGATTCACTAAAACATCTTAAACACAATACAGCATTGTAATGATGATGATAATACAGTAATAATAAAGTAACTACAGGTACTGAAGAGAGAGAGAGAGAGAATCTCTGTGTCTTTCTGAAGACATTTGTTTCCTGCAAAACCCTAACTCTATCCCTGATTTTTACTAAGCATTGTGAGTCCCCAGTGTTCTTCCTTCTTTCATCTGTTCCTGTTGCCTGAGTGCTTCGTATAATGTAGTAGGTTTGGAAATAAAAAGAAAACATTTTAAATACAAAAATAAATAAAGAGATTATATGGTAATATCCCAAATGATTTTTTTTTATTACAGTGGTACCTTGGCTCATGAACTTAATCCGTTCCAGGACTCTGGTTGTGACCCAAATTGGTCATGAGCCAAGTTAAATTTCCCCATAAGGTTAATTGTAAATAAGGTTAATCCATTCTGTAACTATTTTTTGTTTTATCAGAAAAATGTGAAGCAAAGTGACAAAGAACAGCAAAGATCACGGCCATCTCCCTGTCCCCCCAGCACGACCCGCCATCCCGGCACACTGGGGGAGGAGAGATGGGCGCAATCGCAGGTGTGGTAGGGGAGGAGACAGGTGCAATCGCGGGCGCGCTCGGCGGGGGGGGAGACAGGCGTGATTGTGCTGGTGGGGGAGATGGCCGAGATTGTGGTTGCACTCATGCAGGAAAAACGGGCGCAAGCACAGGTGCGCTTGTGCAGGAAAGACAGACACAATCTCGGCCATCACCCCCTCACCCTCAGCATGATCACGGCCATCTCCCCACTCTGGGGGTGGGAGATGGCCGCAATCATGGTCGCCACCCCATGCGAAGTTCGTGACCTGAGTCAAATTTTTTATGAAATTTTTGTTCGTAACCCGATTTGGTCATGAACTGAGGCGTTTGTGAGCCAAGATACCACTGTCTTTCCAACACTACAGAGTAGAGTCCTAGGAACCAAATAACATGATGCATTGCCTTGTTTTGCTGCTTGGATGCCAAGCATCCAGTTGAATAGTTGGCCTCATGCAGCTTCAGTTTAAAATCCATTTGAAATTAAATTTTTGAGATTTTTCACGGAAACCCCTATGAGGCTTTTGTGGAGCCCTAGGTTCCATGAAACACAGTTTGGGTATCACTTCTCTGTGTGTGTGATTGGGTATACAGTATTGTAAAAAAAACAACAAATAAAAGAGACTGTTATTAAAGCAGTTTAGAACATTCTTGAGGTAACATTAACTGATGATGATGGAGATTGTGCTGCAGGAGAGCAACGGGGTTACCACGGACGTTGTTTCCTTGAAGTAGGCCTCAAGGGTGTTTGTGCAGCCATTTTCTTTTTCTCACCCTAAAGGGCCTTGTAGCAGGTGAGGGCCTGGTGACAAGGGCAAATGTTACAGAAAAAACAAAGGGGAACTATGCACCCTGCACTTTCCCTAAAACACACTGGCTTGGGTATAATTGAGCCACTGCCCAGAACATATCTCTAGGGAACTAGGTTGCCACTGCTGACACATTGCCAAACATGTTGCATAGTTTCTTAGAGATATTCACAGCTTTTTGTTAAAGGTATTCATATAGGGTCTACAGCACTTTGCATGTTCATAAGTAGGGGTTGTTCATAACCTGGACAACCATAACCTGGGGACTACCTGTACATGTTCTCTAAGCATTCAGAAGTTTGAATCTAAAGAAGAATCTAAATATGAAATGTAACAAAATTTTAGGAAACCTGTGCTCCTTAAAAAAAAACTGAGTTCATGGAATAACTTTCTGTAGAAATGGTGGTTGGAAGTTTAAGCATTTTAATGTGTGCCAGGGAAATTTTATAGTACTTGCTGTACAGTTGTCTTAAACAGAATATAAATCAAACTTGCAGGAGCTTTACTTGAGTGATAGACTATTTTACTTTGGGCTTGAATGAAGTGGCTTTTATGAAATTTCTTTTAGGTCAACATTCTTAATAGGCTTTTCTGATTTTTCCTTTGCTTTAGGTACTTCTTCTGGTTCCCTATGACCTTCTGAAATCCTATCCAGAATGTATTTATTATTAATGTTTCTCGTTAATGGAATCATTATTTTCTCTGGGGTTAATTCCGCTTATGAGTCAGTACCTAGATTACTCCTGGTATCTTTTGATGGCTTCAGGGCTGATTATCTGAAGAAATACAAACTTCCACATCTCCAGGAATTTATTAAGGACGGTGTTTTAGTAGAACAAGTTATTAATGTTTTCATCACAAAAACATTTCCAAATCATTACAGTATAGTTACAGGGCTATACGAAGAAAGCCATGGTATTGTAGCAAATGAAATGTTTGATGTTGTTACAAAGAAAAGGTTTTCTCAGTTCAATGACACAGATCCTTTCTGGTGGAATGAGGCAATTCCTATTTGGCTGACCAACCAGTGGCAGGAAAATAAAACAAGTGCTTCTGCAATGTGGCCTGGCACTGATGTAAAAATTCACAACACTACGCCTCACTTTTTTATGCAATATAATGCTTCAGTAAGTTTCAAGGAACGAGTAGAAAACATAATCACATGGCTGAACAATTCTAACCCAGCAGTCACTTTTGCTACTCTTTATTGGGAAGAGCCAGATAAAAGTGGACACAAATATGGGCCGGAAGATACTAAAAACATGAATAAAGTATTGCAACAAGTGGATGAACTTATTGGCTTTTTGGTTCAGAAGCTTAAGTTTTCAAAATTGTGGGATGAAATTAACATTATAATTACAAGTGACCATGGCATGGCACAGTGTTCCCAGGACAGGTTGATCAAACTGGATAAGTGCATCGACCGAGGGAGCTACGTGCTGATAGACAGGAGTCCAGTTGCTGCAGTACTGCCACACAGTAAGTGTTTTCTTATTCATGTAGAAGAATATAACTTTGGTTTTTTAAACATTTTAACTTTTAATAGTAATAGTCTTGATGGTTTAACATGAGATGAGAGCAAAACACACCTAGCATGTGAAATCAGTGATTACATCTCTCAATGGTTTTTAAACTTTTAAGTTACTGCAGAGGACTCCGATCAATAGTGCTCCAAGCTCTAATTATATTCTGGGGCAGAAGTATGGGTATCTACAGTCCATACTTTTCCTGTACCCTATCCATGACTTTAACAGAAAGCTTTAAAGTGTTTGAATCCCAGATCCACTGCCATGTCTTTCTATTTTTATTTATTTTTCTTTATGAATGTAATTTATTTATTTCTTGCTATTTATTGTTTTAACATTATTGCTGATTGTACTTTTATTATTGTTGTTGTCTTTTAAATATTTGTAAGCTGTCTTGAGACGTTTTATCAAGACAGATAGGAGAACAATGTTTTAAATAATAAATAATGCAGGTATCTGTGAGGAGCAGTATCAACAACTCAATAGGAGGGCTTTCCTTCTGTACCAGGAGCAGGTCTTTAGTACAGTGAATGGGCCTCAGCTGTCCATTGAAGGCCACCCCAAAAATCTTTGCATTACCACAGAGAACAATATGGCGTTGCTGGGAAAATTTTCAACCCCCCCCCCCCCAAACTACTGTGAGGATTCAGCAAAGCTCAATGGGAATATAAAAGACTGAGCAGGATGGTAGATGAGGTTGGGGTCCCTGTTAATAAAAAGCATCTCTGCTAATGAAGTGCTGGTACTGCATCCACTGTTGTGTAGGCCCCTGTGATAAAGCAAATGTGTTGTAGTCTTAACAGACGATTGGAAACTTCTGAAACAAGTTGGTGTTGCTTTTTAATTGGTTGTCATTTAAGGAAAAATGGTTGAATTGTTAACTGGCTTAACAAATGCCAGTTGTTAAATTTAAATGTTAAATTTAAGTTGTTAAATTAAGTTGTTAAATGTGGATTAGCGGGAAACTAATCAGCTAACTGTGGAAACTATAGTGTCTTCTTCCATAATATCTAAAACTAAGTGTATTAAATTAGGATAAAAATAAGATAAACCTTGAACTTGCAACTCATAAGAAATATGGAAGATCTGGTTTTATGTTCAAAATAACAAGTTTTTAACCTTTGCAAAACATAGCACATCTTGCTTTGCACTTATCATTCTCTGTAGATAAAGAATATGTATATAACTTAATGAAAAACTGCAGTCCTCATATGAAGGTTTATCTTAAAGAAGAAATCCCAGACCGGTATCATTACCACCACAATGCACGCATTCAACCAATAATTTTGGTTGCTGATGAAGGCTGGACTATTGTACAAAATGAGACCCTCCCAAAGTGTAAGTATTTTCACTTAGCATGCATTCCATGGATCTGTTTGGAGAATGTGACTGTCCCCTGTAAAAGAAACAGAATCTGGATCACATAAACTAGGGGGTCTTCTGGAAACGGACACTTGGAAGGATGAAGTCAGAGATCCTTGGGATTCTGTCCCAGCTAATTCTGTATTTATGCAGATGCTAGTCTGCTTCATGGTAGTTAGGCTAATGTGGGCAGTTCCAAACCCATTTTTGTCTTTCTGAATAGAGAGGATTAAGCTGGAGGCCTTAACAGTTGCAGCAGTGCAGGCTAGAGATGGTACTAAACTGGAGGTTGTTGGTGAGCAGAAATCCAGTTCAGCAAGTGGGCAGTGAGCCAGGCAAACTTTCTTTGAATCCTGCTCATTATTGAAGGTTTACTTTTGAAAACAATTCTACAAGCTCCCCCTCTCCACTTTTCAAGATTCTTCAGAAAGCACTCGGAAGGAGATTATCCAAGGATTTCTTGAGAAAAACCAAGGTAACTGTGGAGTAAGCTGGTATGGTGGCAGAGAGGAAGAAGTTGATTCTTTCTAGCAGTGGCAGCTGTACTGGCCTATCATACCTGCTCTTGGGTCAGAAGGGAGTTTATGGCTGTTAATCATTCCTGGTTGTAAAGAAATTCTTCAGTGTGACCTTTAAAGCAATCACTTTTTAACTGCTGCTTCTATGGTTTGGCATCTTAAAAATGCAGTCTAACTTGACTATTTGCAACTGACTCATGGGTAGAGAAGGATGAAGAATCCAGAACTTTCTTCACCATATCTCTTAACTTCCTATCCAACAGCAAGGCCATTGCTACAAGCCAGACAGGGCTAGGTTTCCTTTTTCAAGTCTGAATGTGCAGCTTCAACTAGCTGTGGGAGGAACCTTACATGTGCCACTCGTTTCAGCAAGTGCCACTTGTTTGGATGGCAAGTAGTACCTGCTGAAATTCACTTTTATACACAACTGTTGAAGGTGCAGGAAGCCTCTTATCTTTTCCAGCTGGCCACCTTAACCACAACTTGGAAAGGCCATGGGGTTGGGGAGGGAGGTGACAGAAATGCCACTTGTCTCCCTTGCAAAAGAAATATTCCTGCTTCCTTTGCAAAAGAAGCAGCACCCCTGCAAAAGAGGTCTGTTGTTGCGTTCCCTGTGGCACCCTGGCACTGGTTGGTAAGATGTGTCATCCAAACACAAGTGTGGGATTTTATTGGATCATTTGTTTTGACTTTTCAATACTTCCCAGTTAAAACATGTATCCCCAAATGATAATCACCACTGCCATCACTCCAAATAGGTATTTAATATTAATATTTTAAAATTAATCGTTTTCTAGCTTCCCATTTGGTATTGGGAGGTACTTCAATTCTCATAGAAAGTATGGTGTGATACGTAAAGAAAATGCATGCTTTGTCATTTGGTTTCCAAAAGGCCACTTCAGTATCATTTCTAGGCACATGATGTTTTGTTGGCATCAACAAAGGAAAGTGTGTGTCCATGGGGGGTGGGGAATGAAAAACTGGACTTCCTGGGGTCTGAAGACCAGGCCTTTAACCATGAGAACAGTCACTGGGCAAAAGGTTCCATTCTATATCTTATACACAGACCATTCCATATCTTAAGCAAGAGTTGTAAAAACCCAGTCAGGGAGACATAACACTAATAAGAGTTTCTCTTGCCAGCACTAATGAAAAATAATTTTCTCTAAATTTAACAAGGTAGGTAGAACTGTAGTGGCTTAGGCCCTTAAAGTTCTTCAATTCGTGCAGAGAATGGTCTGCTGAGTTTGCTTTATGATTCAGTCATCCTATGTTATGACTGTTCTTACCATGCTGGACCATAAGGTCCAGAAGTTGGACATTTGGGGACAAGAATACTGGACAACACTTCCCTCATCATCATTCCCAGCAATTCTAGGCAATGATATAATGTTTTTCATTGTGAAGAAATGGCAGAGCTGTGTATCAGAATATTCACTGGAGTTCTTTGGAGATTAAGACGCACAGACAGTATCACTACCCAAGCAACCTAAAACTGCAGCACCTCAAAAAACCAAAAAAACATAAGCCACTTACTCTTATTGTATCTTCTGACAGATTTTAATTATAAGCTGCTTTGAATGCCAATTGATGTTAAAATGTAGGGAACTATAATTGTATATGACAAATAGCAAACTCAGGTGCTGAATTATGATAGCTGGGTAGTCAAAACAGGGCTACAGTGAAACAGGAGAGATGGTGTCATGCATATTTTTATTATATTTATATATATATATACCAACCTGCCCATTAAGATCTGGGCAGGAGGTCCTTCTAAAAGAGCTGTCCCTTAAGCAAGTAAAAGGGACAGTAAATAAAAGAAGGGCCTTCTCAGTGAGTGTCCCTCAATTATAGAACAGGTTCCTCCAAGAAATTTGCCTGGCCCTAAACTTGTTTCGGCACCAGGTAAAGACATTTCTTTTCTCTGAACACTTCTAAGAACAGTCTTAACATTTGTTTTTAATTATGACATCTGTTGTTCAGCTTACTTGGTGTAAGTGTGACATTATTTTTTAACTTTTTAATTGTGATTTTAACTGGTTTTATTGGTTTTTTTTTAAAAAGTATTTTACTGTAAGCCACCTAGAGGATCCATCTGGATCAGGTGGCATACAAATTCAAAAATAAATAAATAAAATAATATATATAATATTATAATAAATTATAAATTATTCATTATATTTATATCCTGCCTTTATTCCTTCCAAGGAACTCACGGTGGCTTACCAAGTTCTCATCCTTCCAGTTTTATCCTCACAACAACCACCACCCTGTGAGGTAGATTGGACTGAGAGTCTGTGACTGGCCCAAAGTCATCCAATGAGTTCCATGGCTGAGTGGAGACTAGAACCCGGATCTCCTAAGTTTCAGTCCCACATTCCAAACCACTACACCGCATATGAGAGCACTAGCTTTGCTAAAGTAGGATACAACTGCCCCGTCTCCAAATAGCCCAGTGGTGAATACTGAATGCTTGTTGAGGTGGACAAAAAACCTATGGGGATATGACTGATCAACAAGGATGCGTCAGGCCTTGGCAACAACTAAAAGATGAAGGGAAAAATACAGAATGGCTTATTACCATTTGGTTTCAAGATAGAAAAAGCAAATCCAATCAGGGAAAGGTATTATAAGAAACCTGACAGAATTTGAAAAGCTGATACACAATGAAAGGATCGTTTGTTAGGCACATTTTACAAGCAATTACTCCAATTTGACTCTGAAACTCAGCAAGTTAAGAAATACATGATAATTTGGATGCAGAACCTTGAAGAAATATTGTCCTGCCAATGAGAAACTTTATGGAAGACATTCATTAAATTTACAGCCAGTCAAACCTGGCTGTTACAGTTCCCAGGACAACTCTGACCTGGTTCACATGACATGGCACAGGTCATTCTGGATTATTTATACAACCTCCATTCATGCTTCCTGTGTTTGCACCATACAACAACCTCAGATTGGGGTTAGATGTGCAAAAAGACACCTGAATGCCCTCTGTACCCTCACCCTATGGTAAATAAAGTATTATAGTTAAATAAATCATGGTGAGCTGTCATGTTGTGCAAACAGACTCAGTGTGTGGAGTGAGAAGGGTTTGTCCATCTTATCTTAAATAATAGATTTTAATGTAGATGTATTGTTGGACATTTTGATGAAGAGGCAAGCAGAAGAATAAAGTTATGCAATTCATGTGCACTTCTAAAGTTTCCACAAATTCAATAGTTTTAGGATATTTTTGTAAGGGAAAACAGTCTTGGGGACTGCAAAGTCTATTTACTGAAGGAAAATACTTTTAAAGAAGCTACAGCTTTCTATTATTTATTAATTTAAAATATTTATATGCTGCCTATTCCTCCAACAGCATCCCTAGGTGGCTCTCACTACTAAAATATCACATTCTAAAATTCACAATATAAAAATTCAACAATAGTACTTTAAAACAACAAAACCCAATTAATTTCTAAATTAATGCAAATAAAAATCCCAATAAATTATTTTACCAACAGGCCATAGTGGCATCCATGGGGGAAATCAAGTATTAAAGTGTCTTTTAGAGAGATGTCTTTTTTCTCTGTGTCTCAGAAAGAAAGTTTCAGCAAGTCTCTGTTTCAGGGTTGTCTGTAGTAGGAAACTAACTGTTCAGTAGAACTTTGTAGCATGTTAATAACTCTTGGATTGTTTATTCTTCTCTATCCAGTAGGAGACCATGGATATGATGATTCTCTCCCAAGTATGCACCCATTTTTGGCAGCTCATGGACCCGTTTTTCGCAAAGGTCACACGCAGAAGACAATTCGTACTGTTGATATTTATCCAATGATGTGCCACATCCTAGGTTTGACACCTCAGCCTAATAATGGGAGCTTGAGCAATGCAAAGTGTTTGTTAGCTGATCAGTGGTGCATAAATGTCCCTGAAGCCATTGGAATAGTGATTGGTGTCTTTATGGTATTAACTACTTTGACATGCCTCATAATAATCATGAAGAACCGAACACCGTCACTGCGTCCATTTTCACGACTTCAGCTTCAGGAGGAGGATGATGATCCTTTAATTGGATAACATGTGCTGACTTTTGTCTGGAAAACTTGGCATAATGCCTTAAAATTACACTGGATGACACCTTACTGTATGTTTAATAAAGATCCACCCAGAATGTCACAGAGGAAGTCTGGTCTCTCCAAAAAGACAAATGTTGAGCAGCATCTGTTTTCTGCTTTGAAATATGTTATATAAGTGTTGAGCACTTATTTAAGAAAGTGACAAGAATAAGGATAATTAATTATTTATAGATTTATAGATTGTAGTGTTTGCATGCACTTTATAAAGGACTCCTTAGCGAAACCTCTGCATCTCCTGAAATTGGATGAAAACAATTCTGTACAGTAAAGAGGTTTTGTAGCTGATGTTTGTGAAAATTGTTACGTCATTTTCTTATATTTATCGTATTTCTGTAAAAAAAATGTTTGAGGGAAAAGGGTTGCAAGTATAAATTTTTAAAATTAGAGCCTTCTAGAAGCAAGATGCCTTGGTTCTACTGCTTAGCACTGTAAATATGATATTGATCTCTGCAAAGTGAAAATACAACTTAACTTCCATTCTGGAAAAATATTAGGGTTGAAACAAAAGAAATAGAATGCCAAGCTGCTTAATTAACTTTGCCCCAGATCAGTATTTTTTAAGAACCACTGACTGCTTTTCTTCCATAACTGTAGGCTGCATTGTGATTATACGTTAGTTCTTACTTGTGGTTGCATTAATAAACATCCAGAATAAATCATGAGATTAGCAGAAGCAGTGAAATCCAGTGCTCTGGGAACCAAGAAAAACAATTTCTCCTAAGTTATGTTCTTAAGTATTTGGTTTATTTCTCTTGCATATAAATTGTAAATTCAAAACTATTTTTAAAATAGTTTTCTTGAGTGACACTGCTGACACAACTGTAAGCAAGAGTCACTGTCAGTGGACTAGAATGTTGAGTATGCTTTTGAGTTCTGTAGAAGGAAAACAGCCTTTAAATCCTTCCTATGAGTTTGTCAGCGTTAACATCCATGTTCCATATATTAAGGATATGCGTAGCTATGTTACACAAACTTGCTAATACCTCAGGGATTACACCAGGTTTTAACCCTTGTAATATAGCTTCCAGGATATCGGAAGCAGTAAGGCAAAAGAAGACATCTTTTGCATTTGATACGCTGTTTAGTTAATTCTGTCAGGAAATTCAGCAAAGGATTTGATGAACTGCTATTCATTTTGTTAAAAATACCAATTATTCAGTGAATATCTATTACCTGTTTTCTATTCATTTCTCCAAAATGTTACAACAGTCAGTTTACTTCAGTCTTCCCAACCTGCTGCCCTCCAAACGTGCTGGACTACAACTGCCACAATCCCCAGCCAATACCAGGATCCTGGGTGAGGGAAGGTGGAGCTAGCTCCTAAGGATGCGGCACACTCTAGTTGTCATCTTTGTGGACAGCTACCTGGATTATATAGCAAGGATACAAATGAAGCAATGAAGGGGAAAAGAAATTCTAGCTGTGAAGCACATGCTGCATTATTTGTTTAAAGGGCTTCTGTGTTTAACTGGATATTTATATGACCTGCAGGTTTTATGGAAAAATATTTTCTTTATGAATTAAAAATAGTATTTTATTGTTGTGTTTTGACATCAAATTACTTTTAGGCTACAACACTAGTACTCTAAATTCATCCTTAAACTCTTGCCTGTAGAATACCAATATTCAAACAACCTGGTTTTGCTGCTGCTGCTGCTTTTTAAGAACATCTTTCATCTTCTATAAGCAGGTGTCAGAAACTGGATAATAGGTGAGATCCAAACTGCATTTAAGATACTTCCTTTTGTAGCCATATTCACCAACAAGTCCTAAGCTGTCTAAACCTTTGCCAGTTGACAACTTTGCCCTGTCATGTATATTCAGATGTAGTATTATTCCCAGGAATCAGCAGGGATAGGGTACTCTTGAAACCAGTCTCCAAAAATTAGCCTAATTGTTTACCCTTGATGCTGCTATTAAGCACTGCCATATCTTCTCCTGGCTTTTTTCCTTCAATAGAGCTATAACCAAACCACTTGACTATCTTGCTACTTCCTGTTGTTATGTTTAGAGCATTGGTGTGCAATCCAAATGCACAATGGAACCTGTTTTGATAGTTGGCTAAAGCCTGATAGATAGCCGATTGTGTGGCAGATTACCAAGACCTTAGCTATCCATCAAACACAAATGATATCTTAAGATGCTTGTGGTGGGGGCATTGAATGTATGCCGTGCTGGTTATTCCAGAATTTGCAGTAGTGCCTTTCTAGCTACAGTGAGTTAGTTTCCTTCTCCCTTCTAGGCTTTTAGGGACAGTCCTAACAGTGCTGTGCGGAGCAGTTGCATCCCCCTCCATGCAGCCCCCTATGGCTTGCTAGGGAGGTGTGCCCAGCTTGGCACCAGAGGAGCTTGGGAACATCTCTTTGGCAAGGGGGGGGGCGAGAAAGTGAGGGGACCAATGCTGTCTCCCACTCAGCTACATGACTGCAGTAGCACCCAGGGCAAGAGGCAGCTGGATGGCATGGATGAGGGCTAGTACTAGCCCCACCTTTCTGTGTCCTGCAAAAGAGGCAATCCTTGCCAGTGCTTGCAAAGCAGGTGTCAGATGGGGAAGGCCCTCTGGAAAGCTTGAGCAGGAAGAGGAAGAAAGCAAGGGGTGAAGCCCTGCAGGGTGCAGCCCCCAACAGGACACCCAGCAGCTGCTTGCTCATACAAGAGGGGCGCACACGACCCCCAATCTGGGCACCACAGCCCAGCCAATTCTCACAGGAGTGGTGATTCCAACGAGTAGCATTGCAGTTCTGTACTCTAGAAATTGTTTTTGTATGATGTTAGCTGCTTTGGACTTACTTTTGGAAGTATAAATAACTGATGAAGATAACACATTTGAGTAATGAAGACAAACTCTTGTTTTAGTTCCATATCAGAAAACATAATTTATTAGGCATTCAGTCATTTCACAGTGTTTAATGACTGTTTACACCAGAGCCCTAACATTCATAAGCAAAGCCCTAAATCTTTTGTAAATTATCAGATTTACTAAAATGTGACAACAGTGTTAACAACTGTGTTAAAACACTTATTTTTCAAAAAGATGTCTTACACTGCAATTCTAGTATGTGCTAAATCGTTTCAATCGTACTCTTCTAAGCACCAGAGAAGAAAGAATACAATTTGATAATAAAACCTTGTTGCTGAAATGGTTTTTGTTTTCTTACTGACAATAATGTTCTTACTGTATTTGGAAATACAGTCCGCTCTGAAGAACCAGGCTGTTGGTCTCTAATTGTTCCTGGTTCTGGAATGGCTCTGAGGTACCCAAGTGGCTGCTGCAGCCAACACAGCTCTTGCATGGCTTTGGCTGGAGCACCAGCCATACTTCTTCCTGGAGGGACAAATCTGGCCAACAGCATGTGCTTCCACCACTTACAGATTAGATTATGGCAACAGATTCTACATAAGTGCAAAGAGTGTTCAGAATCTGGTGAGAAACACACCAGTAAGAATTATCTGGTGTGCGTTTCTCAGACCAGATTGTGATGGCCTTCGGTTAATTGCTCTGACTTCCTGTTAGCTTCTGGAGACAGTTTGAGGTGCTGGTTCCTACACAGCCCTAAAGAGTTTCAGACCAGGCTAACTGAAAGTCCACCTCCTGCTCTATGAACCTGCCCATAGGTTGTCAGGGACCACACTTTTTGTTCCACTGCCTTTTGGTTGTTAGGAACAGAAGGCAGCACCTTATTTGTGGCAGTGCCTACGTTACAGAATGCCTTACAAAGGCATTTAGACTAGCCCTGTTCCTGATGGCTAGTTTCATCTGGTATTCATGGTATTTGATTTCTCCAAATTTGCTGTCAATTTTTAGTCATAATCTTTGCATAATCTTTGTCATGGTTTAAATTGTGGCATGATTTCATTATATTACTGCATGCTTTGGAGGCTCTTGTTAGGGCAGAAATATTCTCTAGAAATGCTCTTAAACAGGATGGGTAACTTTCAGCCTTCCAGGTGTGCTTGGAATGCAACTCCCATGATCCCTCAGCATTAGCTTGCTGACCATGACTAACTGTAGATGCAGCCCAACCAAATTACCTACCACTGCTCTAAAATATCATAGAATATTTTAGAAAGAGAAAGACTGGCATTTGAATCCTACACATATTTCTACTTGGTAAAGATCACAGCTGTAGTACAGACATTGGGGAAGGGGTAAAAATCACCACCAAAAGGTTGTGCCACCACCTAATATGGCAGCCTTGCATGTTCTTTGGAGCTTCAGTATGTTATACCCTGCTACATTTTTCTTCTGAGCATGCCATAAAATAATTTTCCCCTTTCTGAGAGTAGCTCAAAAGACTGTGCATTTGGGGAAAATCTTTCAATTTAGCTTTGTATCAGTGCAGAAATTCCAGAATACAAACAACATGAACACTTCTGCAAATTCCCTGTTTGTCTTTGCTGGATTAGCAGCTTGCAGCAGAAAAATATTTTTAAAATATCAATCAAATGAGTAGTGTGCCACATTTTCCAGCTCCCAAATCAAGCAATCTTGACTTGACAAAATTACCTTCCTTAATACACATTTCAATACATAAATGCATGAATCACTGTAACAAGCAATGAAGTTTCCTGATAAAATTGAAGATTGACACAGTAGTTTAGTTCAGTTAATAACATTACCAACAAGAACTTACAGTTATAAGTATTTGTGGTTTTTGTGCATACATGCAATTTGAATACCACTTGCTCCAGCAAGTTACTTAAGTGCTTTATTTGTCATGTCACATTTTAATCAATATTTAAAGATAAACATGTATAAGAAGGACCTTTATTATTAGTAGCTGAGACATTCTTTCCCTTACCTTCACATATCTGAGGTTCAGATCTAGCTTTTATGGAAGGAACAGAGACCCAGCGGTGGCTCCCAGTGAAAGAACACAGGGCAACTGATTGCCTTCCAGCCCACCAGGAGCACCTCCCACAGGATTCCTACATCAGATCTATAGATTTACTATCATTGTTTTCACACTTATATGCAAGCTCACATGTACACACGTTCCAGAAAAAAATACCATGAAAATAAAGGGTCTTTTTCCAGAGGTACAGCAAATATACAGCAGAATAGGGTTTCAGCATCTGCTTTTGAGTGACAAAGAAATGCTCACCCAGCCACTAAAGAGAAATGGTGCACACACTCTACCAGTTTTAACATACACATTGCAAAAGAAAAAAAAAGCAGCGTACCAACTCTCTAGCACAGAGGTGGGCAACTTCTACAAGTTAGACAACTACAGTGCCTGCTTTTCCCCCTGGAACCTTGCATCTCCTTTTCCACAGCAGACTTCCTGGAATTCCAGCAATGCATCAACATCAGTGACTTGGGGCTGGGGATGCAGGGGGAAGTGTATGATACTCACACCTCCTCTAGCACATGGACCAGTATACAAGGTCTAGCAAGGATAAAGAATGTGTCCCTCCCACCGGCCAACAAAAGGGGTGGGGCGGGGATAGAAAGGGAGGTTTCACAGAAATGACAAAGCAATGTTTACACCAAGGAAAGCTTACGTGCTGGGGATAATTGTGGGCTAGGCAGACAAAAGGGATGCATTTAAAGGAGAGAGAAGGAAATGGAGCTAAAGTGCTAATACTTACGAAGAAATACAAAGGAACTCACTTCTTGGCTGGTCAGATGCCTGGAAAAGCATTTGGTACTGGCTATTCTTACACCTCCTGGCTCTGGGTTTTAAATCAATGGGTGGTAAATCATCTTATGATAGTAGAATGGACTTCATTATCAACAAGCTTGCACAGGTGAGGCCTATGAACAGGCAGGAACAGGGGTACTAAGTGGAAGTTTGGCCATTATTGTAATGGCTCTCTTGTAAATTGCTCAAGGCCTCTGGGAAAGGGGTGGTATATAAAAATATTAAGGGATTCCAGAGCCACTATCAATTGGTTACAAAGAAAACTGAAATAGGAAAGCCTTAAAATGAGCCTTTTCCTTAGATCATCTCTGCTCAAAAGAAAACAACATTGAACAGCAAGGGACTGGAAATTAGAGGCAAACTGGAAACTAAGCATTACAGATGTATGGCTAAGTATATGATTGTATCTGATTTAGGGCCCTCCCTGTAACTTCGACAGTGTGTTGTATTGGGTGTAATATTCTCAAGAGAATGTACTAAACCATGGCTCCTCAAACTATGGCCTGGGGGCCGGAACTGGCCCGCCATGCCCATTTATCCGGCCCACCTCAGAGGTTTTCAGCGCATGCCGCTGCCTGCCTCACCCTCCACACAGGGAGGCGGCAGCTGGCTAGCATGGAGATCGTTTTGGACTCACTCGGAGAAAACGATCTCCAAGTGAGCAAGCCGCTGCATCATGCGCCCGCTGCTGCATGGCGGTGCGTGCCCGCCCATCCCTGCCTCTTCTCTCCTCTCCTCCCCTCGCCACACACACCCACCCACCTGTGCCTCGCTGCGCCCCGCCCCCCACCTCAGCGCCCATGCACCCGAACACCCTGCTCCCATGCCGGCCCGCGCACCCCCTGCCCCCGCACAAGCTTTCCGGCCCACGCCCAGCACTGGCACCTTTCAATTGGCCCCCTGGTGAAAAAGTCTGAGGACCCCTATACTAAACAATATGCATCTCTCTACATAAGCATGTAATTCAACTATGGAAAGCAAAAAGTGCACAGGACCCTGCTTGATCAATATTAGAGAATCATTACAAAATACTGGTGCCTACAAGCTGAGTAAAACATTTGTTAATACCAATGTTGTGCTAGATGTATAAGTCTCAGAAAGGAGATTTTGAGCATATTTGGTCATTGCCTGAAGTCTGCAGCTTTCTGGTGGGATGCATATAATCCAGTGTCATAAGTATGTACATATGTGTGCAATTACTTTGGAATAACTCTCTTAAATTTAATCAAAAGACATGGACAATTAGATTTTGGCACCTCTGCAGCCTACCTGGGCATTCTTCTAATTACTGGCAACCTTCGAACCAACAAGCTTTTTAAAACAGAACAGATTCTCTAGCCAAGGACACAGGCTGATACCAATGCGAGTACAAATGACGTGTCCAGGCAGACAACCTGTCTGAAGTCTTCTGTAGCATCACATCAGCTAATATGCACATTTTCTGTCAATGTTAAGCTTTCGTTCATTCATATGCTCATACTCCTAGGAACACTCCCTATAAACTATGGTTAAAAGGGTGTTTTAAAGCAATCCTATGCCTTTATTTTAGATGTTAAGCTTGAAGTAAAGGCTGAGCTATTTCACCATGCTGCACCCACACAGCTGGTACATGGTTGTGATTTACATGATTTATAAACACTAGAAGAAAAACAAAGACGAGCATGCCACCCAGGAAAGTCCCTATGAACCAGGCATATGATTCCTGCAGGTCGTCTCTATGTTGTGGCTTCTCTGGGGCTGTACTAACAAGTAGATCCTTCACATTGTCAAGTGACCCATTGTTGGGCAGTGGACTGATACCCAACAAATGACATAACAGGGGATACAAATCTGTAGAATTCATAGCTTGCTTGGTGATGTTCTTTTTAAAGGCAGGTCCATGGGATAAGAATATAGGGTGCATTTCTGGTTGCATGTTGTCATATCCATGGTTACCCACTAAACAGAACAAGCAAGTTCATATTACTCCTATGCTGACATTCATGTTGTAAGACATATCTGACCCAGACTTCTTTCTCACAAAAGCAACTGATGCAGAGTCATACAGCTTCAGCTATCACAGCTATTCTTAATGGGCACACTCCTGCAAGTAAGTGAAGAAACTTTGACCTTCTGCTACTCTGTCTCAGATATGAAGAGCAGTTCTGAGACTAAGAATGCAATGCAATGTATGTTTAGGGAGTAAAATATCCTACAATTCCCAACATGCCACAGCCAGCTATGGATGCTAGAAGCTGTAGCACTTTCTTCTGCTCAAACATGCATAGGACTACATCTCAACCATTGTCTAATTAGTACAGTATACATGGGATGTTCAGCCTGGGGCGTTAGGTCAACTGACATAATACTTGCTACCAGGAAGCAAGAGATACATGTGTGAAAAGTCTGCAACACCTACCAAAGCAGTAGTGTGCTGTCCCTTTTGGGATCTGGGTACAATTCTAAGAATTCTTACATTACTGAGAACTGCAAACCTTCCAACAGCAGGATAAAACCTCTAATGCAAAAGCCTGAGTCCCATGTTTCATGAGTTCAGCCCTGAATGCGAACATAATGCAGAGTTATGCTACATAATTAGCAGAGGAGTTAAGTTACATTATTAGCATAACAGTGGTAAGATACACTGTTCCAGAACTGCTATTCACTCTAGCAGTATGATATGAAAATTCACTCATTTCATTGTCTTTGATCCATTGCAAAAAGTTCAGTTTGCTAGGTGTTAATAGTGTTCCATATATTTGGTAAATAACTTTATGCAAGGGAAGTGCTTTATGTTACTTGCAACAGCCTTAACAGGATTTTGAAAAACTCTGCATCAGAGTTTCTTTTTATTCCTCTTTCCAGTACAAAATGCAATTTCAAATTCTTCCCTCACTTCTCCTTGGGTACCTTGCGACCAAACTATTAGGCACAGTTAGTCACCTGCTTCGGGCAGTGGATCTTGGGTGTCAGGAAGCACATCAGTTTTGTAGTTATTTATTACTGTCAGATTTTTATTTCCAGGAATGGGGAACAGCACTTGTGAGATTTTGCCTCAGATGTCAAAATAACTCATCTGTCCCAGGGGTACTGTGCACACTGACTGGGAGGGATACAGGGAGCAGAGAAGTCATTTTATGCCACAAAACATATTGGACTGATCCTGCCAGCCACCAAGACTAATAAGGAAGAGGGGATTTCAATTGGTCTCCCAAAGCCAACTTCCTACCCACTTATAATATTATACTGGTGCTTACTGCCAGTGTGGTGTGATTTTGAGCAAAGGGGTGCTATAGAATGGAAGGAAACATACTTACATAGAAACCCATCTGACTTGTTTTGGAGGATTTCCCATCCTTCATCGGCAACTGCTACGATTGGTTGAATTCTACGGTTGTGTCTGTAATGTAGTCTGTTTAGAATATCCTCCTTCTTATACACGCTCATATGGGGATGAGCATTGACTAATGCATTGTATATTTCATCAGTTTTGCCTTCAGATTAAAAAGAAAAAGTTTAAGGGTAGGATTCTGACACACTGCGTACTTTACATGCTCCAAATAACACAAAAGCCAAGCTAGCGGTCAAGAAAAGTCTGGTTACCAAGATCCAACGAATATAAAATTGTGGTCAATGTGTGAGATTTGGTGTTATAGCACTTGTTTTCAATGCAAGTCCCACATAAAGCAGCAACTTTCTTTACAGCAAAGCAGATAGCATTTATGAAGTTACCAGTGACTTTGTAAGGGGCTACTAACTTGCTTAAGCTATTTATAGGATGCAGAGCAGGTTGTAAGAAGACACTGTCAGGTCACAGAGCAGACTTCTTGTTTACCTCCGAGAAGCAATTCCTGCTTTGATGCCTCCAATTCAGGCTTGACAGTGGGAGGCACCTTAACAGCCTCTGCTCTAGAAACAAACTCTGTACATGCATGAGAGAGTGTGCATATATGTGGAGAAACACAGTTTCCCCCTTGGGAAGGAAGTCTGGGTTATCGTCCCACTTTCCACTCAGCTTACAATTAGTTCGCAAGTATTAACAACTACCACACATTGCTTTTCTAATTCCACTTACAGGTTGCAATCTTAGGGTTGCAACCTGTAAGTGGAAAAAAGCAAGTCAGAAGGGGCCTCCGAGACTATCTCCAGCCAGCTCCACTCATGTATTCCCCAGCAAAGGGGATTTACTGGGAGGGAGGTACAATCATACTCATTGGGACTTTCTTCACTCCTTACAGCAGGAGAGAAAAGTGAGATTTGTAAGAGGCTCTCTGGGGAAGCAAGTGGATAGTTCTCTCTCTACCATCAATTCAGATACAGGCTGCTCTCTTCTCACACTGCTCAACTCTTTTCCCAGGTCTACTGCTGAGATAAAAGGGCAGCGAGGGACCCCACTCCCCTGGCCTTGGGTGGCCTCATGCAACCTGTCTTCTGCAGGTGGCACATCCCTATTCTAGACTCTACTGAGTATTTTAAATACTGATCTTTTACCCTTAGGCCAAGTGCTGGATTCTATAACACCCAAGCCTTTCAGTGTGAAGGAAACTGATGCAATGCTGGTTCTTTTAACACCTGAAGATTTCTAAGCCTACCTTCTTCTGGTAAAATAGATACAACAGGTGAATGGTCAATCATTCTGTATAGATCTCTGTCCACATACAGATCAAGCTCTATGATCCTGCCTCTTGAAGACTGGGCCATTCCATGGTCGCTTGTGATGATGACATTCAACGAGTTCCACAAGTTTGCCTTCTTCAGCTCTGACACAAGATAACCCAGCTTGTTATCAATATCTCTAATGACAGGTTCCATGAAAGGACTGTCTGGACCCAACACGTGTCCCATCCCATCTGGCTGCTCCCAATACAGTAGCCCAAGATTGATGGGCTCTTCAAACATAAACCACTCGATTAGCCTAGCGACTCTTTCTTCGAAAGACACAGATTCATTGTAAAGCATATAGTATGTAGGGAAGGCCCCATGTATTTTCACATCTGTTCCAGGCCACATTGAAGCTCCACTTCTATGTCCTTGAATCTGATTAGTGATCCATATTGGAGAAGCGTCTTCCCAAAATTTTGGATTATAGGTAGTCATATGGTTCATGGAGAAAGTTTCATTTAAAACTGGATCATACATCTCATTAGCAACTATGCCATGGCTTTCTGCATACAGTCCGGTTACCATTGTGTAATGATTAGGGTAAGTCTTGGTAATGAACACATTGGTGACTTGTTCAACATGAATTCCATTCTCTATAATATACTGGAAATTGGGTGTTGGGAATTTATAGATGTAATCCCATCTAAATCCATCAAAAGAAATGAGTAATACCCTTGGTTCATCTTGCAGGAAACAGAGTATCCCTGGAAAAGTCAATATAAAAGTTGCCAAGAACCTCCAGCAGCCATTCAAAGCCATTCTTCCCAGCCAGCATCTGTAGAATTGAAAGACAAAATAGAATGTAAAGATTAGTAAACAAAAGTGTTTCTAAATTATTATATACTTAAGGGTCTGATTATAATATTTGGGGTCATGAAAATTCAGGTGCTGCTGACCCCAAGGGGCTTTTTGGCTTCTATATATGATGAGGCTTGCATGCTTAAATAACCCGACCCCGCTGTTCTGCAAACACCTCACTGAAGAATGCATATTTTCATTCTTGTGGCAATGAAAGAGCAGCCTCCCATTAACCTTCCCTAGATAAACTTTGTATTGCAGACTTTTGTGTACTGAAATAGGTACACTGCAGTTTCAGGGACTTTAAGCAAAATTTGCAATTTTAAAAATTACTCAAGTAAGCGAGTCTTGCTGCAAGAAAAATAAATAAATATTGAGCAGGATCATGGTCAATCCGAACATCCTCCATTTTAGATAGAAAAACATCTCCCAAAAAAGCTAACCACTCATTTCCTCACTATAAAAGGAATTAGATAGACATGAATAAGATCTATTCTTCAACTTTTCCAAATCAGGCTATTAGCTTGTTACATCCTCACAAGAGCCAGTATCTCCTTTGCTAGTTAGAGAAAAGCTACTTGCAGAATCCATTCTTCTCCCCACTGTGAAGTATCAGTTCTCAAAACATCTCTAAGGTCAGAAATCTATTCAGTTGAGCAATATAGCATGAAGAATTTCTCCCCTCACTCACTTCTGGCTTGTCTTTTATGCCATAGGATACAGTACGGATGGGGAGGAACCTGGAATTAAAAGCACTCATTCAAAAGTTGAATGTTTCATCAAGTCCTCCAACCATTGTGTTATTCCAGGTGGCTGTTTATCATTCCAGTGTTGTAATATTAGTCTTTTAGTTGTCAAAAGGTCATGGGGAATCCATTTACATTGTCCTTGTGTTAATCTCAATAAAATGGGTAGATAGTTAAGAAGAGTGTGCATCTTTTTAAGTATTAAGGAACTTCCCATCACAATATTTATCCAAATGATTACTTCCACAAAAAAGGAAGAGGCCATTGGGCAAAGCCAATAAATATGAATAAGAAAACTATGACCTTTATGCCTCTCCAACAATTAGCTGATTTACTTAAGCCTTTATTAAAAAGATATTGTGGTGTCCAATATACCCGAAACATCCATTTTTGTGGAACTGAGGATAACCTTAAGAACTATTACCCCTGCTGAAAACAGGTGCCACTGATGGGCAAAACTAGGTTCTCCAATTCATTGTTCTATTCTTGTTTGAAACCTAGTGTATGAAATTGGTTCATCAATAATGGATTTTGAGTTAGTGTATTTATTCAACTAAATCAGTACTTCCAATAAGAAAGGGAGCTCAAACTGTAAAATCAACAGGGCTGAACCTTGCTTCGAACAAATGCCTTAATTGCACATATTTTCATTCAACTGGCAATTCATAATTAATATGCAAACCAGAGAATGGCAGGAAGTTATCATCAAGACCTATAAGCTAATCTAAAGTTTAAAAAATCAGCTACTTTGTGCAAGTCTGCTAAACATTTTCTTGTCAATTTTCCAGTCTGGGTTTCCTCATACAGTTAACTTTGCAGTTTGGTTTACTTTCACATGCAACTAATGTGGAACTGCCTCTCTTACAGCTATAACTGAAGAAGGCACCTGGATTTGGTATGTGGAGGACCCAATGCAATCCATTTGGAGAGAGGATCCAAGCATTAAGATTCCAAAAATGACTGGGGGAAAAGTCTAATCTGAACAGAAAAGACCAAAATACAGAAGAAGTCAACAGATAAGGACTAAGATATAAAGACAGTCCAAGGAAGTTATATCCTTTGTAAAGGTATTAGTGCCAAAGTGGAACCCCATACATTTCTGAAAATACTTTGCTGTTATGTGCCATCAAGTCATCTTCAACCTATGCCAAACCTATTCATGAAAGTCTTTCAAAATGCCTTGTTCATGACAGCTCCATTCAGCTCTTCCAAGTCCACAATGGATGCCAATCTATCTCATATCTGGTCTTCCCTTCTTCTCTCTTCAACTTCCTCAGCATTATCGTTTTCCCCAGTGAGTCTTGTCTTCTCATGACATGCCTGAAGTACAACAGCCTCAGTATTGTCATTTTTGCTTCTACGGAGAGCTCTGGATTGATTTGATCTAGGAAACACTTGTTCATGTTTCTCTCAGTCCAGGATATTTTCAAAGTTCTCCTCTAGCACAATGTTTTACAAGCAGCTGTCAGCTTTCTTCACTGCAACTTTCACACCCATACACTGTGACTGGGAATTCAATAGTTTGAATGATCTTGACTTTGGTCTCTAGTGAAACATCCATACACTTCATAATCTTTTCTAGTTCCTTCACTGCTGCCCTTCCAGACTCAACCTCCTTCCAATTTCTTCACTGCCACCTCCCTCTTAATTGATAACTGAACCAGGGTATATGAAATCTTTCACAATTTCATTATTAACAGCAAAGTTCTGAAATTCTTCTGTGGACATAATTTTTGTCCTATTCATATTCATATTTATCTGGAGTCCTGTTTTTAATACTTTCTTCTTTCAGTTTCATCAGGAGTCATTTCAAGTCACTGCATGATTATCTGCCAGTAGTATGGTATCATCTGCTTATCTTAAATTACTGATGTTTCTTCCATCAATTTTCACACCTACTTCTGATTCTAATACAGCTTTTCTTATGATGTGTTAGGGAAATAACCAGATAGGGAAATAAAATGCATCCTTGGCCTATGAGAAACCATTCTGTTTCTCCATTTTCTGTCCTAGCTGTCGCTTCTCATCCATGATACAGGTTACACATCAGGACAATGAAGTGCTCTGACATGCCCATTTCCTTCAGGACCATCCACACAGTTAAAGGCTTTGGTGTAGTCTGTAAAGCAGAGACTGATCTTCTTTGGCACAGTCCAATAGCCAATGTGTTTTTTTGCAATATGATCTCAAGTGCCTCTTTCTGGAATCCAGCTTGGACATTCAGCATTTCCCACTCTACTCATGGTAGTATTCTTTGCCACAACACTTTGAGCATCACTTTGCTTGCATGGGAGATTTATGCAATGCTCTTACTGTTGCTGCACTTTTTTGCATCTTCTTTCCTGGGCCACTTTTTTCATTTTCTATATTTGTTGACATATATTTCTCCATATTTGTTTCTTAAAATACTTGCCAAGTATAAATAGAGGAATACTACATAAAATATAAACAATTCAAAGAATTACATTAATTTCAACTGCATTTACCATACCACATAGACTTAACTTTAAAGATCGTTATATATATCCTGATCTTCCATAATATTTCATTAGCTAGAAGAGATAAGAATGCCTTCTTAAATGAACAGTGCAAAGAAATAGAAGAAAACAATAGAATAGGGAGGACCAGAGATCTCTTCAAGAAAATTGGAGATATGAAGGGAACGTTTCATGCAAAGAAGGGAATGATAAAGGACCAAAATGGCAGGGACCTAACAGAGGCAGAAGAGATTATGAAGAGGTAGCAAGATTACACAGAAGAACTATACAAGAAAGAGCTTAACGTCCCTGATAACCACGATGGGGTGGTCACTGAACTCGAGCCAGACATCCTGGAATGTGAAGTCAAATGGGCCTTAGGAAGTCTGAGCAACAACAAAGCTAGTGGAGGTGACAGCATTCCAGCTAAACTATTCAAAATCTTAAAAGATGATACAGTAAAAGTGCTACACTCAATATGTCAGCAAATTTGGAAAACTCAGCAGTGGCCACAGGATTGGAAAAGGTCAGTTTACATTCCCATCCCAAAGAAGGGCAATGCCAAAGAATGTTCAAACTACCGCACCATTGCACTCATTTCACATGCTAGCAAAGTTATGCTCAAAATCCTACACGCTAGGCTCCAGCAGTATGTGGACTGAGAACTACCAGAAGTACAGGCAGGATTTAGAAGAGGGAGGGGAACTAGAGATCAAATTGCCAACATACGCTGGATCATGGAGTTCCAGAAAACATCTACTTCTGCTTCACTGACTATGCTAAAGCCTTTGATTGTGTGGATTACAACAAATTGTGGGAAGTTCTTAAAGAGATGGAAGTACCAGACCATCTTATTTGCCTCTTGAGAAACCTATATGCGGGTCAAGAAGCAACAGTGAGAACTGGACACGGAACCACTGACTGGTTCAAAATTGAGAAAGGAATTCGGCAAGGCTGTATACTGTTGCCCTGCCTATTTAACTTATATGCAGATCACATCGTAAGAAAGGCGGGGCTAGATGAATCACCAGTTGGAATTAAGATTGCTGGGAGAAATATCAACAACCTCAGATATGCAGATGATACCACTCTAATGGCAGAAAGTGAAGAGGAACTAAAGAGCCTCTTGATGCTGGTGAAGGAGGAGAGTGCAAAAGTTGGCTTGCAACTCAACAGAAAACTAAACTCATAGCATCCAGGCCTATCACTTCCTGGCAAATAGATGGGGAAGAAATGGAGGTAGCGATAGATTTTATTTTCCTGGGCTCCAAGATCACCACAGACAGTGACTGCAGCCAAGAAATTAAAAGACGCTTGCTCCTGGGGAAGAAAGCTATGGCAAATCTAGACAGCATACTAAAAAGCAGAGACATCACCCTGTCAACAAAAGTGCATATAGTCAAGGCTATGGTTTTCCCAGTTGCAATGTATGGCTGTGAAAGTTGGACCATAAGGAAGGCTGAGTGCAAAAGGATTGAGGCCTTTGAATTGTGGTGCTGGAGGAGACTCCTGAGAGTCCCTTGGACTGCAAGGCTATCAAACCGGTCAGTCCTAGAGGAGATCAACCCTGACTGCTCTCTAGAAGGCCAGATACTGAAGATGAAGCTCAAACACTTTGGCCACCTAATGAGAAGGAAGGACTCCCTGGAACAATAGATGGCAAAAGAAGAAGGGGATGGCAGAGAATGAGGTGGCTAGATTGGGTCACTGGGGCAGTCGGCATGAACTTAAGTGGACT